TTCATTATAAGTGTTTTAAGAATTTTTATAATATCTATAATTTTTTTAGATATAATAGTTAAAATATTAAATTTTTATTAATATTAGTTAAACAAAATACCATAAAATAAAAAATAGCAATCAAATCTTTCTCTACACAACTTTCTCTCAGTATTTCTTTCATTATTAAAGATATATGTATTTTCTTTAATTTTAAATCACTCAATATTTAAAATAAAACTTTTTATTAATTCAATTGAAATTTTAATTAATTAAAATATTTCACTTTGATTAATGATAAAAGAACTTTGTTTGCTTAAAAAGAATAAAAGAAATTTGTTAATTGAATTAACCATGTTAAAAAAAAAATCAAATTTTTGGCAATCAAAGCTGAATTTTTAAATTAGGTTCAATTATTAAAATAAAAATCATTAATTAAAGTAATAAAAGACAAGAGAAAGAGTTTCGCTTATTATCCTTTTTTAACATTTTAATATTTATTTAATTAAAATTAATGGGTACTTAATATTTTAATTATTTGCCAAAAGAGAGTATTATAGACCTTTTAAAAAATTTTAATACACTTATAAAAAATTTAATTAGAGTATTTTTACTTATATAAAATTTAAAATTCCTCATTCATTTAATTTGAAGGGAAAGTTTTATGAAACCACAACAAAGGAATTTCCCCCTTTTTTTAACAATATTATTAGGGTCACCAAAATATTATTTTGTTGACTAATTCTAATTTGCTAACTAATAAATATCAAATGTTCTATTATATATAAGTTAATAGTTATAGTTATTAGTTATTTTTATTAGTTAAATTAAACAAAATCAGTATTTTTAAAAATAATATTTTATAATTTTAATGGTAATAATATTATTATTAGTAGCCATAACCATGTCCATAACATATAGAATTTTTTTAATCATACCTAGAATACAATTAGGGTTCAATTTATTTTTGACCTATTTTTTATTTTTGTTTTATCGAAAAAGTGGGGCGGATTGCAAAACAGAATTTCTTTTGTGTTATTTATTTTTCATTGGGCAAACATCCTAAAATGGTATGGGCTGATCAGGGCAATCAGGATTAGGCATGGGCATTGGCTGTTAACTCCCCGTATATCCTTTTTGCCTGTGCTTTCTGCGCAATTACTGCATTAGGTCCAATATTGTCTTATTCTGGTTTCCAATTCTTTACTTTGTGTATTTTTTCATTTTTCGGATTTTTGAATAGTCATTACCCTCTTCTTTTGTGAGACTTCTGTAGATTTTCTGTACCTCATCCAGCTATTTTTTTAGGTGATAACAGAGTTCTGCTCGGAGCGCATTGCAAAATATGCTTTTGTGTATGCCTACTTAAACATCAAAAAGAAAGTTATTGCCATGCACAAGGCCAACAGAATGAAACTTGCAGATGGTTTGTTCTTTATAGTCATGCCCCAAAGTTACAACAAGATATCAAGTATCAAGTATTGACGATCACTTAAGATTTTTTTTTTTATAAATGAAAAATCAAGTGTGAAAAATATAAAAAGAGGGAGTCATCACTCGTCCAAATTGTAAGGTGGGACAAGTCATCTAAAATGGGTCTGTGCAGAGATCGAGATTCGAGGCTTCGGTTAGAAGTGAGGAAGGACATACGCGCACCTCACAATCCTTCGTTTAAACACGGTTGCATACTTTAAAATTGAGGTTTTAATTCAACTTATTTATTATATTTATATTTGGGTCTTAATAGACAAGCTTGAAAAAGAGATAAACCAAATTGCAACATTTTTAACATTTTGGATTAAAATGGACGAAATCAAAGACATGCATGCACAATGAACACAAGTAAAATTAAAGGGACTGATTTGATTAAAATAAAAATAAAGGACTGATTTGAAAAGGTTTGAAGATTTTGGACTCAAGTGCTTAAACATGAAAGTTTGTGTGAAATTGAAATAAAGATATAAGGCAAATAGAAGATTTAAAATTACTTAATTATGATAATTAGTTCAATTGAATGACTAACTTATCATTAATTAAAATTAATTAAAATTAATTAATCATATTTATTAACTTCTTTTTTTTTTTTGGTTTCCCGTCCGGTATCCGAGACTTCACCCCGACTACTTCAGACTCGACCAGCTGTGGCGCACCAGAATGATGGATGGATCTCTCAACGAAAGCTGCTGCGTACACAAGGTTTCGAACTCAAAATCTTGTTTAAACTGGAACAAGTCTTGATCCAACCGCTGGTTGGTTATTTATTAACTTCTAATCAAGATAATTAAGTGAATCTAATTATCTCAAATTAAAGGCAATAAACATAATTAATTCACTCTAATTAGAATTAATTAACTTTATTAATCACATATTAAACTAATTATCATAATCAATTTATCTTTTTATTTACATTTTTTTTATTTTTTTTTTTATTTTTTAGTTTTTAGTTAGTTTTTTTTTAGTGTTTATGTATATATATATACATATACTTGCCCCAAAACACGAACGATCAACCAAAAATAAGGAAAAACAGATTAAAATCTAGACAGAAATGAAGACAGAAAAAACAAAAATGGAATTTAAAGTTCCTATTCAGCCATTCAACTAAACAAACAAAAGAAAACAAATATATAGATCCATGAAACTCAACAGAGCAAGCTTGATTCTATTCATAATATCATCATCCAACACAACTCCAATACATCAAGATTTAAAAAAAATTGAAACGAACAAGGCGGAAATTTTTGGAGAAGACAGATCAGGATTAGAAGAAGGGATCCCACCCACGGGATCACGCTGCATTCGTCTCCATCACTACCTTTCCCAAAAAAAATCCCTCTGTTTAGAAAATTACCTAAAGCAAGCAAGAAACAGACAGAAGAATAAGCCTCTTTTCAATCACGGTCGACCTCCAAAAAAATGTTCTCCTTCGTCAACACCACAACTCCTTCAAAAACAAGCCAAATCCCTCAAAGACCTCTGCCTTTTGCTCTATATATACCCCAAAATGATAAAAATAACAAATGAAAAAAAATATAAGGGGCCCTTGTTCTGTCAATCACCAATGATGCCAATTTGTCCGGTATTTGCTATCTTTTCTGCATGGCTGTAGCGTGCAGGAAGCAGGGGCGCGTGATTGGGCGCAGAGTGCAGGAGGCGCAGCAGCAGGGGTGTAGGCTCGGTGCAGGAGGCCGGGGTGCAGAGCAGGGGGTGCTGGAGTGTATGATTGCGCGCAGGCTTAGTGCAGAGGGGGTATGATTGCCGGTGATGCTGGCGTGCAAAGGGACATCATTGCCGGCAGTGGGTTGCGCAGAGGAGAGGGGATCTGGTGCAGAGGAAGGCTGGCGCAGTGCAGAGCTGGAGACTGATGCAGATTCGGTGCAGAGCAGATGTAGGAAGCAAGGCCGGGCGCGGTAGCAGAAGGGCGCAGGCAGCAGCGCTAGGGGTCTGGGCTCGGTGCAGGGTAGGTGCAGGCGGGTTCGTGCAGAGGGGGGGCGATGATGGCTGGGTGCAGAGGAGCTGGGCGCGGTGCAGAGGGGAGAGGAAGCTGATTCGGGTGTGAGGCTAGGGTGCAGGGCAGGTTGCAGGCGACAAGGGGCTGGTTCGGGGAGCGAGAAAAGTAAAAAAGTGGAAGAAGAAGCTTCTGGAGAAAAAACGATTATTTTTTTTTCTTTTTTTTTTCCTTTTTTTTTGGGTTAAATGGGTTTGGTATTTGGGCTTGGGTTTGGGTAATTGTTGGTTTTGGATTTTTGGGTAATTTTTGGTTTTGGGATTTTGGGCTTGGGTAGTTGGTAGGCTTTGGGTTTTGGGTAATTG